TCTGGAGTGGTCCCCACTTCGCAACCATGACCAGGGGCTTTCACTTCTACCGCCAAGCCTACTTCACCCTCTGGAGTGGTCCCCACTTCGCAACCATGACCAGCGGCCTTCACTTCTACCGCCAAGCCTACTTCACCGTCTGGAGTGGTTCCCACTTCGCAACCATGACCAGGGGCCTTCAAGCTGCAGTGCCAACCAAGAGGATGAAGATGAAGTTTACCATAGCCAAGGTAAGCCTTCTTCTTCACTCTCCTCCTCCTCCTCCGTCTTCCTCTTGTTCCTCCCTGTCATCGTTGCCATAGCTATGCCCTTCTCCTATCTCTCTTTGGCTCTAAACACCATAGCCAGGGTGGGCGACAGCTCCACCTTGATGCTGCTGCTTGGCGCGCTTCACTGGCCCAGCTACCAGTCCAGCAGCATTGCTGCCTGGCCACGCAAAGAACGAGGTGGAGCGATGGCGGCTGCATCTTCCCCCGTTGACTTTCCAAGCAGCTGCGGCGCCTCCCGGGCCTACCCCGGTTCCCTTCCCTTTCTGGTAGGAAACATCATTGCAATTGCGATCTGATAGTTCCCCCCCTGCAAGGCCTAGACTTAGGCTCTACCCAGGCGGGCTTATTCGGCAGACCTCTCCTCCCTAGACCTGTGTAGGACCTCTATTCACTACTTCGGCCTACCCCAAAGGTACCACCTTTTTGTCCTTTTCTGCCTTTTTTTTTTTTTTTTTTTTTGGAATATTGCCCACCGCTACGTGTGATTTTTGGCTACCGTGGGCCTGCTTTCTGCTAAAATAAAATCTGCCCGCTGCACAAGTCCATGCACGGTACAGGGTTAGTATCACCCCCCTGCGCCTCAACACACACACCAATCCACACATTCGACCGCACGCACGCACCCACACACGGGCACTAGGATGGTCACACCCACAACAACGCAAGGACTCAGACAGCAGGAATCCTTTTTTTTTTTTTTTTTTCCTCCTTAACCAGAACGCAAGTACACAAAACTATCCTTTTTTTTTTTTTTTTTAACAAGAGGCCTCCCCATCTATTTAGTGGGAGGCAGTAGTCCGGTTGCTTATTACCGGCAAAAGCATGGAACTACAAGGTTTTTGGAAAAGGGGGGGACTGCAACTTTGCAGGTTATCACAAGTGGAGAAAGAGTCAGTGATGGTGATGGTAGATAGAATCTGATAGATTAGTTAGTAAGTAAGTGTGCTGTTTTTGTCCCCCTGCCTCCCGAAGCCAGGATACAAATTTAGTCAAAGGACAATGGGCACCCCCTTTGACTATAGTGAAGGACAATGGCCACCCTTTCAAACTCGGAAATTTCTTTGCAAATGGGGTGAAGGACAATAGCAAATCTGGTGAAGGACAATAGCAAATCGGGTGAAGGACAATAGCAAATCGGGTGAAGGACAATAGCAAATGGGGTGAAGGACAATAGCAAATCGGGTGATGGACAATGTGCACCCTTTGGCTTTGGCTGTAGTAAGTGATAGGGATGATAGGGAGGGATGACAGGGATGTGGGGTGCACAGGAGAACAATAGCAAGAACAGAGTTGATCAATGACCGTGTCACCCGGCAGGCACCCTGAGACAAAACGGGTTGTCGTGGGTGATGTAGGTGGTCTGTCCTTTGTCGTAGTAGACATACCTCCTCACCTGCATACGTATGCTGTATTCCATGCCTCGAAGTTGCTGCTACCCTACATGACTATCATTTTCACCCCTGAATAGAACGCCCAGTCTGGAGCCAACATCGATGTCAATTGCAGCTGCTTCGAAAGCTCACACACACACACACAAAAAAAAAAGCAGCTACAGTACCTGGGCGAATCAGTTCAGTTGTCAATTGGCATGATGCGGAAGTGCTGCTGAACGCTTGGGCGATGGTGAGATGCGAGTGGTCAGGCATACTCGCGGAGTTCCCTGGCACGAGGCGCCATAGCTAGGAGGACTAGCGAGAGAGGAGGGCGATACACCATAGCCGGTAGGGTGTGAAAGCCCAGTGCGTTCACACACACACACACACAGATAGAGATAGATAGATAGATAGATAGATAGAGATAGATAGAGATAGATAGATAGATAGATAGATAGATAGATAGAGATGGAGAGAGATAGATAGATAGATAGATAGATAGATAGATAGAGAGAGAGAGAGAGAGANAGATAGATAGATAGATAGATAGATAGATAGAGATGGAGAGAGATAGATAGATAGATAGATAGATAGATAGATAGAGAGAGAGAGAGAGAGAGAGAGAGAGAGAGAGAGAGAGAGAGAGAGAGAGAGAGAGAGAGAGAGAGAGAGAGCATACCTTAGTGAGGTTTTTGTGGCCAGAGCCGCTTGATATCTTTGAGTTTCGGCTGATATCTGTCTCATTCCTTTGCTGTTGGAGTGTTGTGTGAATTGTGGGGACTTGTCTGGTTGCTATGGTGGATTCAATTAACGAGTCGGATCATTGCACGGGACTTGTTCCTCACTTAATCGCACCCACCCTCCTTTCTCCAATTCTCCCTGGCACACCCCCAGTCCCTCAGCCCTACCTCAAGGTAGAGCTTACAGTGAGGAATTAAGGATTCCAATGGCATGAATTGTTTCATTTAAGAGCGCGAAGGAGGATAAAGTTTACAATCATTCGCTTTGATCAAACCACTTCTAGCAATGATTGGACAATGGTTGGACAATGATTCGAAGCAATGGTTGGACAAGGATTCAAGCAATGGTTGGACAGTGATGCGAAGACTTTGTCGCGTGCATTTTTTCACTGCGGACGCAATAACGATCATAGCACAATCTCCTTGTTTACCTACAGGTACATCAAATAATTCCACTTTGTCATAAACATCATAGGGTGCTGCTACCTTACCATTTCTTGGTGGGGTGACCTGATGGAACAGTGGTAGCCGGCACCAGCGCTGGGAAGGATACCCCACTTAATTAAAGCACCAGTACACCACATATCGCCCCGCGGGTGTCAGCATGAAACCCGCACCACTTCGGAGGCGGCCAATGCTTTTTTTCAACGGTGGGCGCGGCCAATGCTTTTTTTCAACGGTGGGCCTGGCCGCGCGGCGTCTCCGAGTTTTGCTTGTGGCGACAAAAACTTTCTGCAAGGCTGGGGCCGTGTACTAGCGGTCTAACCCTGGTTGAAGCATGTTCGAATGAGCCCTATGTACAAGTACTGGAACTTGAGGTGCTCGGCGTAAGCATTCTCTTGAGAATCGAGAAGACCCATCGAACCTTTGGTAGACTCTTGCTGCCCTGTGGGGTGGGTCTGAATGTCCACTACTCGGAAAACTGATTGACATACCGTACAGGTCGGCCAACCAGGGCTCTCACCTAGCTTAGGGCGGGAACTTCAAAGGTGCAACCAGGCCCCAATTGCGATTCCTGTACCTATGCGTCTTCACCCTATAGAACGCCGGGCCGTTAAAGTTGTACCTAGACAGAATGTTGTGCCGTTGTGTAAGGCACACAAGTGGCATTCACGAGGCCTTGGGTTCAATCCCCATTGGCTTCGTGTACCTTCCTCTGGGCAAGCTTGGCAGCTGCCACTTAGAGATAGGCCGTTGGTCCCTCGAAGCGGCATGGAGCAGAGACTGCTGATGTTCACAGAGGGAGAGGACCGGAGGGAAGGCACAGCGACGGGCCCATCAAAGAAGCTCAGTCCTGATGCTACTGGCTGAACCCTGGCCGGTATGGCCCCACCTGCTGAAGCAGGTATCGCACCTTCTGGTGGGTGCACCTCTCACATGTTCTCTCGTTGAACACGGATGTGGCTGCTACGAGGTTCCCGGTAATACTACAATGATATAATAAAATGACGTGAAAGGCCGTCCTCTCCAGATTTGACAGGTAATTGAATTGGTTGGGCTTAAAAGAATTAGCCGTTTCCAAAAAAATAAAAATCATCATTCACTAATTTCCATGGCAACCGTGGACCCGGATCCGGACATTTGTCTGGACTGGTTCAGACGTCCAGTAATCCGGACAGGCACCGGACAATCGGACAGGACCGGACCTGGACCGCCCGGACCGGTACACCAGACACAAAAACGTCCAGACCAAAAACACACACACACACACACACACACAAAGAAAAACAATAGTTATAACTTATAAGCAGTACCTTACATATCACAGCTTACTGTCTCTTTCACTATTCACTTGACAGCTCAATATAGAGTCAATACTGTCACACAGACATTCACAAAGGCTCACACAACACTAGAAAGTTCACAACACTAGAAAGTTGAAACCAGTTCTCAACAGACCTTTGTGATCCCAAGACACTTCAGAAAAGGGTACGGAAATCAGAAAGAAACGGAACTTTGAACTATGAAGGTAGACTTCTTTCTAATTCATATTCATATGAAAATTCAAAATTGAACATTTAAACTGTCAAGTTATTCAGATCTGAGTAAGAACAGATCTGAGATCTGGTCAGGACCAGATCTAAGACGGTATCTCAGATCTGACCAAAATCCTCTCTCTCTGTCTGTCTGTCTGTCTGTCTGTCTGTCTGTCTGTCTGTCTGTCTGTCTGTCTCTCTCTCTCTCTCTCTCTCTCTCTCTCTCTCTCGCGTGATGTTCTGTGGCGCTTTGCAGCCAGCGCTTCATTTTCGGAATCGGACTCATCCTCATCCGATGAACTACCAGCGTAGTACAACAGCCGAGGGAGCTGTTGGCGGTGTCTGGTGGTGGCCTAGGACCCGAAAAACGTCCTAGGCCCCCTCAAAAAGAAATCAAAATTTTCAAAATTGGGCCCAATCCAGACCTACCAGACCAGACACCGGACCCATACCCAGACAAACGGACTATCTGGATTCCGCTCTAGACATCCGGCCGGTTGCGATGCTAATTTCCCTCCGACCAACTGCACTACCCACCTTGGGTTTGCTAATTGCCTTAGCACACAGTGGGGTGTCAACAGACTCTCATCCCAGGCCATAGTCTTCACCCTCGAATAGAACGCCTGGTCATTATAGTCTCATTTGGGGCAACTTCAGTCCAGACTCCAGATACAGCAATAATGAACGGTATCGCACGCTCTCTCTCGTCTCCCTTGCGCTGGGATTAGGGCAACTGCCGTCTTTTCTTACCAAATTTGGACCGTTTCTCGTCTTATCCGTGTCATCGTTGCCCAGCAGAGGTCATGGAGATGCTGTCCCGACGGAGATTTCCACTCATTTTGATTTTCCTCCCTCGTTTTTTGGAGCTTTCGCAGATCCTTCAGTTCAGATACAGACTTATGTAATCATGTAATTGCACCCCTTTTTGGCCCGTAAGTTGGTGGGGGGTACCCGGGTTAGAACGTGGCCTTCCAGTCTTGGGACCATTGCCTGACCGTGGGAAAAGAGAAAGGATAAAAAATGCAGCAAACAGAGTAGCAGGAAAAGAGAAAGGATAAAAAATGCAGCAAACAGAGTAGCAGGAAAAGAGAAAGGATAAAAAATGCAGCAGAAAGAGTAGCAGATAAACATAAGAGAAGGGAAGAGAAGGGAGTAATGCAAACCAATGTGTCTCGCAGGTGATTGATGGCTCTGCTCCCAGAGGTCTGCTGAGCAGTCCTTATCAAAGAAGAATGAATAACGTACACACCAAAAGCGTTTCGTCAGATCATCATCATGCATGCCTCTCATGAGAACTCACAACATTTGATTCAACTGAGATCATCACTCCACACGAGCCGAACACACTCACACTGTTTGAGATGCCTGCCACTAGAAGGCCGTACGTTTAAACACCACCCACCGCTGATACGCAGAATTCCTCTTTGAAATTTGAATCCATGTTTCCCTGAACCAACCCCCCCCCCCCCCCCCCCCCCCCCCCCCCCCCCCCCCC